TGGAAAGCGTTTCAGAAAGCGCAGAAAACATAACAACAATTCTTCATGAAATGGGTCAAAGTGAGGAAATATCATTCCAAATCTCTTTCAGACAATAGGTTATGACTTTCTTTTATCATGTCCACTTCTACCAAGTACAAATATAATATTTCTTAACCCTAACTATGCAGTTACATGTTATATTTTAATTATTAACCAGTTTCAAACATTATAAATGGGGAAAAAACTGTCCTTTCTCACCCTATCGTTTACCTATTGGCTCAAAGGTATTTTTCTTAATCCATTATCAAAAAAACTAGAGTCTGCCTCAATCCCAGCAGCCGACGTGAACGTGAGACGCTCACAACTCATCTTATTGGCAGCGACCAATGAGGGATAGGGAATACCCTCTCGTCCGTGGCTTCACTCCCCCCCCCCCTCCCCTCCTCCTCTCCCATCCCAATCAGTACAGTACAGGTCTGAACGTGCTCGGGAGCAAGCGAGTTCTTCGTTGAGTTGCTTTTATTTCTAAAGAGTTTGCTGTTTTTCTGAATGGGTGAGTGGTAATGTTACTTGGTTTCACTGAAAGTAATAATCAGGTTCAGACTCAGTAGTGATTTCCTAATTACAATCTGCAGTAATCAACAACCATGTCGACCGATCAGTCGGACCCCTCTGCATCACAAACTTCCAATGTTCCTAACCTGGACCCGTGAGTAATAAATTATTTCTTGGAGCTTTGTTGTTTATTTGGCTTCTGTATTTTTTATTATCAATTGATTCTTATTTCAGAGAAAATATATTTGAACTAATAGGAGGGTCTGATGCAGATTTAGGTTTGCTAAATGCACCACAAACCAGTAGTGGTACAAAAGAAACTTCTGAGGCTGAAGTGTAAGTATTCACAATTATCCTTTACTCTAATAAACCTATAAAAACTGACTATCATTCATCATGACTAATTCCGTTTTTATATTATTTTAGAGTACTGCCATGCTCTATTGGACTGATACGTGAATACTCAGAGTGTACAGCCAATGTTAAAAAGAAATCCCAGCTCTTGCCCTTGGAACAAAAACTTCTGAAGTTGAGGACTAATGTTACATCTATCAACAAAGTTTGTAGTAATCATTATGAAGAATTTCTGATGAGATACAATCAAAGACAAAAAGCCTGTGGTGCAAAATTAAAGTGTTCTGGAACACGAACTGGAGATCTTCGCACTATTGATTATGAAAATTATGAAAATGCAAGACGTTATTGTGAATTTAATCTTATCCCAGGACAGCTATGGTGTTTGACTTGTAGATTGTATGTTCGAAAAGCTGTTAAAACTGAAGAAGCTAAAAGAAATAAGCTGAAAAAAGAAGCAGAGGAATCTGGCCAAAAATATGTAGAACCCTTTGACCCGGGTTCTCCAATAGTCAGTGAAAATGAAAGTGAAGAGTCAAGCCAAGATACCAAGAGTACTGTCACAAATCCATCACTGAGTCAGAATGCTGATGCTGATTTCCCAACACCCCCTGAGTGTGCAAGAGAGAAACTAAACCTGGCATTGGGTGTGTTTGGAAAGTCACCTGTTGATACAAGAAAGTTTTCACGATCCAAGACTTATGCTACTGAGAAGTTAAAAGAAGTCCAGTCAGCGGTTACAAAATCAGCTGCCACTTCATCCAGTGTGATACGTAGTGACAATGTAAACAAAGATTTTGATGAGATGATAGAGCAGCTAGTAGAAAAATTTAATTCAGTATGGACCACTAATTCTGAAAAGTTTATGATATTGTCAATTTTACCTCCTAATTGGACTCGGCAGAGAGTAATGGATACATTTGGGTGCACTAAATACTTGGCTCAAGCTGTTGAGAAAAAAGTGAAAAGTGATGGTATTTTATGCACTCCAACCCCAAAGCAAGGTAAAAAGCTTTCTGATGAAACAGAAAAAAAAGTTATTGCTACATATGAAGATGACATGAACAGCCGTATGATGCCTGGGAAGCGTGACTACAAGAGTGTTATTATTGATGGCAAACGGGTGCAAGTTCAAAAGCGGCTGCTCCTGCTAACAATAAAAGAGCTTCATCAATTATTTATTGAAGAATTCCCAACCTTCAAAATTTCACTTTCTAAGTTTGCAATGTTGAGACCAACTTATGTCATCCTTGCTGGGGCCTCAGGCACACATTCAGTCTGTGTGTGTACTATCCATCAAAATGTGAAGTTGATGTTGCATGGTGCAGGTTTGGAAGATGGTGTAGAACTTGAAGATGGTGAACTAGTTCAAGGTTTCAAAAATTTGGAAGAGTGCATGTCTTTAATGCTGTGTGAATCTCGAAGTGATGAGTGTTTCTTCGGCACATGTAAGCAATGCCCTGGCACAATGAAGATTAGAGAGAGACTCGATCAAATTTTTGATGCCAAAATGATAGAAACAGTTGAGTACAAACAGTGGACTGTAGTTGATCGATGTGATCTCATTACTGTGACGCAAGATAGGGATGAGTTCATTGATTTATTTTTGGAAAAAATGGAAAAACTAATTGAACATGATTTCATCACTAATCAACAAGCCACATTCATGTCCAAAAGAAAATCAACTCTACAGGAAGGTGAAGTATTTATAGTGGGTGATTTTTCCATGAATTATAAACCAGTCATTCAAGATGCAGCTCAAAGCTACCACTGGACCAATGCTGGGATTACTTTACACCCCTGGGTGTGTTACTTTTTAGAAGATGGCATCATTAAGCATAAAAGTTTCATCATGGTCTCTGACAACCTTCATCATGACACAGGGACAGTATACGCTTTTCAAGTGAAACTTATTGAGCATCTAAAAATAGTTTGCCCAACCATGAAGAAGATCATCTATTCATCTGATGGGGCAAGAAGCCAGTATAAAAATAAGAAGAATGTGGCTAACTTGTGTCACCATTTTGAGGATTTTGGCGTGGAAGCTGAATGGCACTTTTCAGCTACCTCTCACGGTAAGGGAGCTAGTGATGGAGTTGGTGGTAGTGCGAAACGCTCTGCTTACAAAGAAAGCTTGAGAAGTCCAACTGAGGGACACATACTCACTGCAGAAGACTTTGTAAAATTTGTCAATGAAAAACTTGAGAAGATGACAGCGGTCTTTGTCTCGAATGAAGAAGTGCAAGAGCAAAACCAGAAATTACTATCAAGATTTGCTGCGGCAGAAGTATTGCCAGGAATTTCATCTTTTCACTCCATAATCCCAGTCTCTTCAAAAGCTGTCATAGTCCGAAGATATTCTTATTCTCTGAACCCTGAAAGAATTCAGCTTGTTCCAGAAGTACCAAGTTCTTTAGATAATTTAACAGGCTTTGTTACTATCATCTATGAAAACAAATGGTGGCTATCTAAAATTGCCTCTGTTGAAGGGACTACAGTAAATGTCCGTAGACTGTACCCTGCTGCTTCAAAGAGAGGATTCAAGTTTGTAGAGAGTGATTCAGATCTTATTTCCCTCTCTCTAGAGGATTTACTGGTGACACTCACCCCTACAACAAATGACAACCTTTCATTTAGCTTGCCTAAGCCCTCCAGAACTTTGACAGAGCAAACATTTGCTTCTAAATTACCTGCTACCAGGTAAGAAATTTCTCTTTGTGAAGGTATTTTTTTTAATTGATTCTAGTAACTGCAAATGCATCCCTGTGTTTTTTTTTTCAGCTCCACAAATTCCCCTATCCTGGGTACCACGACCAGATTAAGAAAAAGGAAACGGCAGTAAACCTAATCTGATGTAAGTCACAAATCTAGTATGATCTAGTGTAATTTACTTCATTAATATTACATCATTACTTGAAATAAACAATTATTTTCTTTTTTCCAGGCTCTATGTTGATCCAAAAATTACTTTTTTGAAATTTTTTATCTTGTGGTATTAAAACCTTTTGTCTGAAAGAGATTTGGAATGATATTTCCTCACTTTGACCCATTTCATGAAGAATTGTTGTTATGTTTTCTGCGCTTTCTGAAACGCTTTCCATGTTTCAAAAAACCCCGTCCCAATTTTTTGATATGTTTTAGTACTTACCTTGAACTAAATTTTAAAGGTGGAATATTAATTTTGGCTCATGGGGCAAGGGCTATAAAAATATATTTTACCTAAATGCCTAAAAATTGTAGACGGGGAAAAGTAAGAGTGCTCGTAAAAAGTCTACCAGGGTAATTTTAGTTTCTTCTTACCTTATCGACTTGATTCCAATCCGTACCTGCCCCAGAAATTGCTTTCACTTGAGTTTAGGAGAATATACGCTACTTAATTGCTAAAAACACCTAAAAAAGCACAAGTTGCCATAACTCAGCCAATAATTAATATAAAATTAAACCCTTCAAGGTGAGTTTGTTTTGGACCAAAAACAAAAGATTAAGACCATTTTCACCGACACAAAAAAGGGCAAGGGTCAGCCAATGTCTGGTTACGTAAAATTATGCTCATTTGCGTTTCCAGTGTATGCAATCCCGCAACACTGCTGCGTATTCACAGTTTCACCCAGTACCTGTCAAGGTATTCAAGATCTCCTACATAGAAAGTTTATTCAGTAACTAACGCATACATACATGGGATCGATCGTGTGTATTCAGTTAATACTGTAACGTGTACGCACGCACTTCGGTTGCAAGAGTGTTCGTCAGCGCATTTTAAAAACACGAGAAGTGTTCCTGCTGCTCCCACCAGCAGAGCCACAGCCACGCCCCCCGGCCTCCGGCCTCGGACAACCCGGACAAAATTTGAATGGATCGTCTCGCGCGCGCAACGCAGGGTGGCTGGAAGGGGAGACGAAGCGAGTGGGAGGAGGAAAAGGGAGAGAGAACAGAGGGGGAGGAAGAGAGGGGAGGAAGAGAGGGGAGTTGGAGAGGGGATGACGAAGAAACGGGAGGGGGGAAAGTGGTGGGAGGGGTGCGGAGGATACGGTACTGGGCCCCCGCGGAGACAAACAAGAACCAGAATTTCCATTGAGAGCGCAAACAATGCAAAATGAGGGCACCAGACTATTTCATATACTGTACCTTATACATATAGAAAAGCGAAGCTTAAATTGGATGTAACAAGGGGGTGGGGCTGCACAATGGAGAGCAAGGGGGTGCAGGGGCGTAAGGGTGGGAGAGGCAGGGTGAGACGGGGAAAGAGAGGCAGAGGAAGAGAGAGAGAAAAGGAGAGAAACGGAGAGGGAGGCGCGATAAAACAAGGGGGGAAGCAGGGGAAAGTGTAATAGAAGAAGAGTGCGGCGCTCCGCGCTCCATACCGGCAATAAAGGCACAAAATGGAACCAACCCATATAATTTTAACGAGTTTCCACGTTGTATA